AAAAACCAAAAAAAAAAAAAAAAAAAAAAAAGTTTCTAGTTTAAATTTCTAAATACTACTGAAAATCTAATTTTTAATTTCTCTGAATAAAGTTTAATTGTTGAAGCCAGACTGGGTGGCACAGGCCTCGAATCTCAGCTAACCGGAAGCTCAGCCAGGAGGACAAAAAACAAGGTTCACCTAGGCTACAGAGAGGTTCAAGGCCAGCCTGAGCAACTTCATGAGCCCCTATCTCAGAATACAGGCTGGGGAGACAGCTCAGCAGTCGGCTGCTTGTTGGATGTGGGAGGCCCCAGGTTCAATCCCCAGTGCCACCAGAAACAAGGTCAAACAAACAAGCACGTTGTTAGGCAGGTGTGGGGTCCAGATGAGGCAAGAAGAGGGTCTGAGACCAGAGAGACTTCAAAACACCAAAACAAATCCAATAAAGAAAAGGTAAAAGAAAATGTAAACTACTTCCAAATTTTCATAAAATATTTTCTCAAAATACCTTTTTTCCAACAACTTAAAACAAATAAAAATTAAATCCCACCATTTTATTAAGCATAAAATTCAGAAAACCCGCTGGGCGGTGGTGGCACACGCCTTTAATCCCAGCGCTTGGGAGGCAGAGGCAGGCGAATCTCTGTGAGTTCGAGGCCAGCCTAGACTACCAAGTGAGTTCCAGGAAAGGCTCCAAAGCTACACAGATAAACCCTGTCTCGAAAAAAAACAAAAACAAAAACAAAAAATTCAGAAAACCCAGAATTAAAAAAGTTATAAAGCTCCCAGAAATAACTATTTTTGTTTATTCCTATATTTAATAGACATGTTTTATACTAAAGGGGAGTCTATACTGACTCAAATTCCTAACAGCTGTTTTCAGGTAATATGAAAATCAGAAACTAAAAATCCTTTGTTTCTTGAAAACTGGATATTGCTTTACTGTCCATTCCTTAGGAAATACCTTGCATACTCTAACACAGGACAAATGCAGATGGAGCCAGTGTGACTGACCGGGAAGGGGTGAGTCGGGGAGGGCTGGAGGGCTCTCCTGGCCATACCTGCTGTGATTTCAAAGAGGATTCTGTCGATCTCCATTTCTGCTGCTTCTTCCATTTCTTCCTGGTCATCCATGCTTTCAAATGTGTCCTCTAACATTTCCTCTATGATTCCAGCCTGAACAGAGAACAAAAAGCCACCCCCCTCAATGTTACATCTGTTCCCAACACCCCTGGACGGCAGCAGCAGGAGGTCTCTGAGTCTAGGCCACCTTGCCCAGGTGACAAGGAAGGAAGACAGGTGGAAAGGAGACCCTGGAGGATGGCCTCTCTGCAGACAACGACCCAGAGGGAAAGAGTGCTCTAAAGGCACTCCCAGGCCTGCAGCCTGCAGCTACCGGAGCCTGCAGAACCCCGACTATGGCAGCAGTCCTCAGCAGCACACCCCTGAGCGGCTTGGAAAGCAACTGGCCTAACACTGCAAATAGGACCTGAGAGGGCAAGGGTTGAAATGCAGGATCAAAACTGGTCGGAGCCACCGGAGACAACAGGGCAACAAAGGCACGAACATGGAGGGACTAGAAAATGCTCAAAAAACATCACAGCATGGCAGGTCACCGCTGCTGGAGGAGGCTAGCTGCTGGTGGGTGGGTGCGCTGAGTATCAGTCCATCACCAAACCCTGATCACCTCTTCTCCTCCTCCTCAAGCAAAGTCAAGAGTTCCTGACCTCAAAGCAAGGCCAATCACTTTACTGGAAGCCTGTGCCTGGCAGCCTGGCGGTCAACCTTCTTTTCAGAAAGTAGCAAGGAGGCAGAGGAATGGCTTGGTTGGTAAATGCCACAAAAACTTGGGGACATCTTCAAATCCCCAGAACCCATTTAAAGAGCTAGGCATTGACAGCCCACATGCACCCAGCACTGCGGGAGGGGAAGTGTTTTGGGGAGGCAGGGTGGTCTCTGAAGCTACCCGACAGCCTGAGGAGCCTCAAGTTCAGTGAGAGTCTGTCTCAAAAAAGCAGTGGAGAGTAATAGGAGGGTACCCAATGCCAACGTCCGCTTCCACATGCAAACACCCCAACGCGTGTGTATGTACCATCATCCAACAGTGCTCATCCATGTGTGTGCATGTACACACTTTAGAAAGAAGGAAATAACAAGGGACCATTGTGAGGCACCAACAAAAAGCTCTCCCAAGTCCCCAACTCCGGATGAGGCTACTCAGTGTCCGTTAGCAGAGCAAGAGGGTCATTAAAGCACCCTCCCATGTCAGAAAGGGGTCCCAGAGGAGCTACCAGAGGGAACCCTAGTGTCCTTGCAAACCAAGAGGCACCGGAGGCAGGAATGGCTCTGGCCTCTGCTCCTGTCCCGGAAACCCACTCACCTTCCAGCCTTTGTGCTTCCTGATCCAAGGTGACTCCATGACATGATCTAGCTAGTCCTCACCCAATTCTAGATCCTCTCCCTACTCAAATGAACAAACTCCTATCACGGTCACCAAGGTGGAGCCCTATAGCCTAGCTAACTGGAAGTTGTTTCGATGCTGGCGTCTACTGTTCAACAAACAGTACTTGGGAGGCTGTAACATGAGGACTGTTTGTAGCTTGTCTTAAACAAAACAAAACCCTACCGACTAAGTAAAACCAAAAACTCAAACAAAAAAAGGGGATCAATAAATAACTGTTGCTGTGGATGATTGATAAATAAAGTGTTGACTGGCCAGTAGCCAGGCAGGAAGTATAGGCAGGACAAGGAGAGAGGAGAATTTCGGGAAGTGGAAGGCTGAGGCAGGGAGACGCTGCCAGCCGTCATGAGAAGAAACATGATGTAAGATACCAGTAAGCCACAGCCACATGGCAACTTATAGATTAATAAAAATGGGTTAATTTAAGATGTAAGAACAGACAGCAAGAAGCCTGACACAGCCATTCAGCGTATAAGTAATATAAGCATCTGTGTGTTTATTTGAGTCTGAGTGGCTGCCAGTCCAGGCGGGACTGGAGATAACTCCAGCTACAAACTGTTGATTGGTTAAAAGAACTTAGCAGAATCCAAACTGTAACCACCCCCCTCATTCTGAAGAAAGAGGTTATCATTTATTTACTTCTTCATTTAATCAGCAGTGATTCATCAAATTCCTGGCCTGTGTAACAGAGCCAGGTACTGGGCAGAAATGCAAAGTCTAAGAACATGTCCCCACTCTTTTAGAGATGGGTCACTATGGACAGCCTCAATATACACCCAGTCATGTATCACTATTGGCCTCAGTCCCTAGAATCTACAATATACAAGCTCCCTTCAAATCATACTTTTAGTGTTCATAAACCACTGTGAAAAAGATCTGAAAGGTTTGTTTTTGTTTTAATAACTCATTCACTCATATTTTGGGGGCTACCTAAGTTAAAACATGCAGGCCTGGAGTCACTCCAAGAATTATGCCATCATCTGCCTCTACTGCACAGTGATCTCCAGTCTGAGTACATACCAGATATAAAGGACATGCCCTCCTGATCCATTCCCTGCTAAGTGCTATTGCCCAAGCCTCTTCTTTCTAAAGAGCTGAGCCCTGGGCTCTTACGATATTTTTCTATCTGTTCTTCTCCAGCCCTTCCACACCCCCTCTGCCTGTCCCCAGTGCCCAGTGTATGGTTCACATTCACAGATAAAACACTGTGCAATGCAGAAGGAGATCCACGCACAGGAATTTGAGTTGTGTACTCTTGGTTGTTAAACCACAGGTCTAAACTAAGAAACAGCCCTCATACAAGATGTCAGCTCATGAGGAGGGCAGACACACCTGTGGTCCAGCTCCAGACTTATAACCCGAGAGACCTTGGGTTGCCTGGCAACTTCAAGACTCAATGCCCTATGTAAAATACCCCAGAAGAGCACCTGGAGAACAAGATAGGCCAAACTGCCATGTGCTATCAGCAGTGCTTCATTAACAATGCTCTCCTCTCATCCCTGCCCCGTCTGGGGGCTACTAGGAGAGTTCCCGCCACACCCTTATCCTGAGGCTGGCAGGTACCTATATACTTCCCATTTGGTTCTCAGTCTCTCCTTTTTGTGGTTAAAAAATGCATCAACAACTACAGCCTGCAGGCCAGATCTGGTGTTTCCCAAACAAAGAATTTGGGCCACAGTCATTTCATTTAAATGCTATCTAGGGCTGCTTTTACTGACAGGCAACGCTGAGTTGTTACGAGAACGGCCATCAAAGCTAACACGTGTCTGTTATCCAGCACTGTAGAGAATGCAATCACCTCCCTGCCAGCTTCACTAACACCCTCAGAGCAGACAGTAAAATTATGTTTCTTTGTCTCTTCCCTCCTGCTGGAGCCCACAGACTGCGTCACTGGATGTTCCTCCTCTGGAGATCTAGGCATGCGTGTGCTTTTTCCCCACACTTAATCCCACCCGGTCTCTGCTATGCTTTGCACAGCAGTGGTTTCAACCAGATAACATCTGCTCCTCTTCTCAAAACACTGTGGGCGCAGCCGCACTCTCCCCAGTCACAGCCACGCAGCCGCAGCCCCAGCCTCAGCTCCAGCTCAGAGGACCTCTCAGTGGTTTGGAGAGAAAGCACAACTAGCCCAATCACCTTCATCATCTCTTTGGACAGCTCCCGCATGGTGGCCTGGATTTCTGGGATCTTCACAAGACTCTGCATGGCCTTCATCACTTCTGTGCTCTTTTGCAGGGAACCAGCTACTCTTAGGACCGCTGAAAAGGAAAGGCTGCATCACCCAGGATTGTTCAAAAGACAGAATGTGCAATGAAAGAGTCTAGCTCAGGGCTGCTCTAGCAGGTGGACTACCAAACTCACTGCCATGCCTTTATGATATATTCCTGTGCTAGATATCTGACAGGTCATTCTTTGAAACTAAGTCCTACCTAGGTGTGCAGAGCAGTTTTATGTCATCTTGACACAAGCTAGAGTCATCTCAGAGGAGGGAACCTCAATGAAGAAAATGCCTCCATAAGGCCAGGCTGTACACAAGCCTGTAGGGTGTTTTCTTAATTAATGATTGATGGGGGATGACCCAGCCCATTATGTTGGCACCATCCTAGACTAGTGGTCCTGGGTTCTATAAGAAAGCAGGCTGAGTAAGCCATGATGAGCAAGCCAGTAAGCAGCTCTCCTCCATGGCCCCTGCATCAGCTCCCGCCTCCAGGTTCCTGCCTTGCTAGAGTTCCTATCTTGACTTCCTTTGATGATGAACTGTGATGTAGAAGCAGAAGTCAAATAAACCCTTTCCTCCCCAACTTGCTTTTTTTTTTTTTTGGTGTTTCACCGCAGCAATAGAAACCCAAACTAAGACACTGGAGTATTATGGTGTGAACTCTCTGAGCAGTAACACCAAAGGGCCACTGTGGAGAGTGGTCTGAAGGTCTGCAACTGACCATCAGGGAGGGAGACTTAGTTTGACACCTGGAGACAAGCTGCAAATGAGAGGCAGGTTCTACACTAAGATATGGACCACAGTGGAAAACAAGACTTCCAGCTACCCAAGCAGAATCTCCCACCCACTAGATGATGGATAGTGCCTGTTCTGTGAAGAACCTGTTGCTGGTCCTCAGAAAAGTGAGATAAACAGAGGTAAAACGGAGTAAGGTTATATGGGTCAACATACAGGAACAGTTCCTGCTAGAGAAAAGCCTTCTGTGGTCTCACACTGTATATATCTTCTTTCCAAGAAACTGTCATAAAAGCAAATGGCCATTCCTCCCTCGGTGTTCATTATTAACATGTCAAGTAAAGAAGTGAGCAACCCTCCTAATGTGTTATGGAATTTCAAAAGATTTCAAGTTCCTAGAATCACTCACTTACTATAAAGCAAGCTGTTCACTGAAAGCTACACACTTTTCCTGTATTGCAGTACCTGGCTAAGGCAGGAGGCACTGAAAATTTAACTTTGGCAGAATCCAGACCCCAGGAAGCTTTCACATCTGCATACAGTGAGCTATCTGGGATTAGAGAGCTCGCCCTGGTGATAAGGATGAAGGAGAGCTTGCAGGCTGACCAACCTAGCAACCACCCAGGCCCAGAACCAGGGCTATGAGTTGGTCCATCCCAACATCCACCCCATCAATGATCTGCTGGAGCATGGGAGGGGCTGGTCCTGCAGACCCAAAGTTGCAGGACCTCCAGTCCCAGTGAGGACCCAGTATTAACAGTGTAGCAGAAACCAGAGGCCTCGGACCAGACCAATGGCTCACTGCAATGAACACTTGCAAGTAAGACACATGAACCAAAGGGTTTACTGTGTGACTGACTCACTGTTGTCACACTGTAGCTTCCACACGATTACTCTTTTGTTTCTTCTTTTACATTTTTTTTACTTTTATTTGGGGGGGGATGAGTGGGGTTGAGATGCATAATGTGAATTTCACAAAGAATCACTAAAAAGTTAAATAAAAAAATCAACATATAAATCAGTAAACATAAAAATCACTAGCAGTTCTTTTTCTTTGCTTCCTGGCTTCTTGCCAGTGTTTTATCTCACCCAAAGTGCAAAGCAACAGGGCCAAGTAGGCAAGGATGGAAACCTCCCGAACTATGAGTCTGGAGTAAAACAAATTGTTTCTATGGACAAATAATGAACCACCTAGACAGGAAATAAGGAAAACAATCTCATCTACAATAGGACATGAAAACTTAAATACTTAGGAACTTTTATCATAAGAATATAAATTAGTGCAACTACTATGGAAAATAATACAAAGGCCATCCCTGCTGGCATATAGCTATAATTTCAGCAACTGGGAGACAGAAACAGGAGAATCACCCTAAGCTTAAAGTTAGCCTAAACGTACAAGGTGAGTCCTAGGCCACTTAGGCTACATAATAGCCAGGTTATACTGCAAAACTGTCTTTGTTAGGGTTACTATTGCTGTGATGAAACACCATGACCAAAAGCAACCTGGGGAGGAAAGAGTTTGTTTGCCTTACACAGCCTGAGCCATAGTTTACTGAGGGAAGCCAACAGAGGAACCCAGGCGGGGCAGGAACCCAGAGGCAGGAGCTGATGTAGAGGTCATGGAGGGGTGCTACTTACTGGCTTGTTCAATCTGCTTTCTTATAGAACCCAGGACCAACAGCCCAGGCGTGGTACCACCCACAATAGGCTGGGCCTCCCCCATTAATCATTAAACATTAAGAAAATGCCTTACAGGCTTGCCTGCAGCCCAGTCTTATGGAGGCGTTTTCTTTTCTTTTTTCTTTTGGTTTTTGGTTTTTTTGAGACAGGGTTTCTCTGTAGCTTTGGAGCCTGTCCTGGAACTCGCTTTGTAGACCAGGCTGGCCTTGAACTCACCGAGATCCTACTGTCTCTGCATGGAGGCATTTTCTTAATTGAGGCTCCTTCCTCTTGGGTGACTATAGCTTGTGTCAAGCTGATATAAAACTAGGCAGCACAAAGAGTCTGTCTCAAAAGACAAACAGCAACAAAACAAAAAACTACAATAAAATGGTATAAAGGTTCTTAAAAACACTGAAGAGTATGTGACCTAGGAACCCACTTCCAGGTATACAGTAGAATCCAGTGAAATGAGAATGTCAAAAGGGTATCTGAGTTCCCATATTCACTGCAGCCTGAACAAACTCACCGCTCATCAACATATGAATGGATACAGAGTTTATAAACTTGTTTGGTTTGAATCTGAAGGGCTGTTCTCCCCACCTCTATCTACCTTGTCTCCCACCCCGAGCCCAATCTGCTTTGACTCACTTTAAATGCTAGATGTCTAGTAGTGGCACTATGTGGGAGGCTCTGGAAACTTTGGGAACTGGGGTCTGCCTGGCAGATGTGGGCTATTAGGAGAGGGCCCCTGTAAGTTAGATCCAGCCCCTGGTGTTCCGCATGCTCTCTGCAGCCTCGTTACTCCAATGTGCTCTGTCCTCCCTACCGTATGGACGGGAATGTCCTGAAGAGTCCAAATAAACCTGCCATCCATAGGTCAGGGATCTTGGTTACAGTGACACCAAACTAATAAAACAAGAGAATACTACATTCAGCTTAAAGGGGGAGGAAGTCCTGTCACTCATAACAGTATGGATGGATCTGGAAAACATAAACATCAGTGGAATATGGGAGACATAGAAAGCAGATGGCACACACCACCTCCATGTACATGGTAATAAAGCTAAAATCACAGACATGGAGAACAACGGCTCTATCTAATGGTTGCCAGAAGACGCCAGGCACGAGGGACTTTGAAGGGGGTAAATGAGTGTTTCTGACCAAAGGGTGCCAAGTGCCACAGAGTCAGGAGGAACTGCTTTTGAAATGTATTTTGCACAGGAGGGTAACTGTAGTCAATAATAACATGTATTTCAAAGTAACAGAGTGGGGCTGGAGGCACAAGCCAGTGGTAGAGGGGCGCTCAGCCTTGCACAGTCTGGGGTTCAGTCCTCAGCACTGTGACAATGTCAGACCCAGGCAAGTAAGAAGGTGAATACGCTAACTGACCTAGCAGATCAAAACCACAGTTCGTTCTTTCTTTTTTTCTTTTGGTTCTTTCGAGACAGGGTTTCTCTGTGTAGTTTTGGTGGCTGTCCTGGCATCGCTCTGTAGACCAGGCTGGCCTGGAACTCAGAGATCCGCCTGGCTCTGCCTCCCGAGTGCTGGGATTAAAGGTGTGCGCCACCACCGCTCCAAAACCACATTTTATCCTGGAAATATTTATAATTATAGTCTATTAGTCAGAAAATAAATAAATACATGCCAAGTATATGGGAAAGTATTTCCTTTGAGGTTCTGGACTCACACACATGTGCATGTATATATGTGTATAAAATAATGCTAGACTAAAACCAAACCCCTGCGGGGTAATTCAGATGGTGCTCTAAAAGGAGCTATGGGGACTACGGGGCTGTGGTCCCCCGGGTACCTTTCTGAAAGAATCCCAGAGACGATAAAGAGAACTTGTCTGACAAGTGGTGACACACTGTGATTACTCACAGCAAGTAGACAACAGCCACATCCATTTCAAAACCACACAGGAAATGGAGAAGCTGACTTCCCATGGGAGAACAACCCATGCCAGAAGGAGAAGCAGTGAGGAGAGAGCCACAGTCTTCCACTCACACGTCATCTTCCGGGGGCCAAGGACACCACGAGCCTGTACTACGCACATGCTGCCCACAGTGTCACCTAGACGGACAGTGACCCCACCCTCCTCTCCTGTAACAATGCAGGTTCTGAATACAGAGAAGGTGGGGCTGAAGCCCAAACAAGGTATGAACATCTATTTTATAAACTGCTGCGGCGTTTTTAAATACTAAGCCCTTACTCTAGGTCCTTAGGTATGTGCGGCTGTTCTCTAACCTTCGTTGGGAGGCGTGTTTAAGGCTCATCCACTGTAGCCTATGTCAGAGTTTTCTCCTCTTTAAGGATGACTATTATTTTGTATGTGCATGGTATATGTCGACAAGTATGTACGGATCTGCATAACCTGAACATGAAGAGGTCAGAAGACACTGGGTTTTCGCTTCTACTGCTACTCAGTTTATTTTTTGAGACAGGGTTTTTTTCGTGAACATAAAGCTTGCTATTCTGGCTATTCTGGCTCCTGGGATCTGCCTGTCTCTTAACGCCCTCCACCCCATGCTGAGGTTACACGCGTGAGTAGCCATGCTCAGCTATTAATGGGTGCTAGGGATTCAAACTCACGTCCTCTTGTTTGCACAGCAGGCATTCTTACCCACTGAGCCAGCCCCC